CATCTGGTACGCGAAGAAAGACGGAGAGTGGACGTTTGGTGTCGGTGTACTAGGCATTTGCGAGAAAGTTGGCGAATAAAAATCGTTCGTAACGGTGTTGGGAGTTGTCGAAATGATGATGTGGTGACGAGAGGGAGAGCAAAACGAGAGGGAGAGAGGAGGAAAGTGAGAAGAGAGAGAACAAAAGTATGCCAACTTCCCTCCGAGGAAAATAAGGTGGAGCCTTGAAAATTCCCCAGGAAAAATGCAGCGGGTCCACTTTAGGTGCTAGTTGCAAAATAGCAGGCGTATTTTGGACGGAAGCAGCGAGTCAGATGAAGTACAGAGAGCACATTCCGCCCGTAAGGCTAGCGGCTGGCAGTTCTGATTGCGGCACGGCAAGAGCCAAGGACCCAGTAATAAAAGAAAACGCAAAAAAAAAAAAAGAAGAGAGAGCAAAGAAACGAAAACTACGTGAACCAGGCGCGAGTGAGGAAGAGGAAGGCCAAGCAACTCCTCTCATAAATTTCGCATGTTCTTTTCCACGTTATGTTTCATAACACTGTAGACTCACTTGGCACGCAACAGGCGGACAACACATAGTATCATGGGTATCGTAATTGGGTTTCTTTTATCTATCCGGCCAGTCGGTTACAATTGCATCAAGTAGAGTATAAACTCGAGCCGTCATCGCGGCCCCACAGCTTGACTGTCTTGTCGTGGCCACCGCTCACAATCCACATGCCGTCACGGCTGACGTCCACACTCGATACTGGGCCCGTGTGGCCGTTGAGCGTCTGTACTAGCGCCCAGTCGTCGGCCGAGTAGATCTGGATTTTCTGGTCGAAGCCGCCCGACACGAAGAACGTCCCGGATACCTTGGGCTGCTGCACACCCGTCTCCGGGTCAGTGCCGGGCGGCGTGCCCAAAAGGCCGTCGTCCAGTCCCTTGAACCACCGCACGTCAGACACCGTGCTCGAGTGTGCGCCGATGCCGCCGGTGCGCTGCACCTTGCGAATGTCCCAGCACTTGATCCAGCCGTCGGCCGACGCAGTCAGCAACCGGTGGCCATCGGCGGCCCAGTCGAGACCGTAGATGGGCTTGATATGGCCGTCGAGGGGCCCATCCAGGATCATGGCCGTGCGGCCAGACCGCAGGTCCCAGATCCGGCCGATGCTGTCGAGGCCCGCACTCGCAATCAGCGACCCATCTGTGTTGAAGCTGACCGCGTACACACCACGCGAGTGCCCCTCTTGGCGTAAGACTTGGGCGCTGCTTGGCCCGCCGTCAGTGCCACCACCAGATGTTCCCTCCTCGCCCGCTCGCTGTACATCCCACAGGCGCCACGTAGCATCCTCGGACGCCGACGCCAAGAACTTGCCTGATGGGTGGAATTCGACGCGGCACACGCGCTGGTCGTGGCCTGTCAGCGTCGCCACAGGCGTGTCCTGGTTCAGCGACCACAGGTTCACGAGCCCCTCGGCGCCGCCGGAGGCCAGATTGACCGCTGCGGCCGACACGCCGGACTCGGGAAGCGTCGCGCCGGGGAACCACGACAGGCCGCTGATCTTGCTCGTGTGGCCGCGCAGGCTGCGCGTGTGTTCCAGGTCGGGCACGCGGTACAGCCCCAGCGAGCCGCCAAAGTTGCCGGCCGCCACGTACTGCCCGCTCGGCGAGATGCGCGTCATGCTAACGTTGCGGTCGCCAATCGGCTGGCTGGCCTGCAGCTCAAAGTCGCGCAGCTTGCTCTTGACCTGGTCGCGGAACTTGACGTGCGTGCGCAGCGGGATGGCCGACTCGGCGCGCTGCAAGGCCACCTGCCGACGCGTGCGAGGCAGGGAGTAGGCCGTGATGTCCAGGCGCGCCTGCAGCAGGTCAGGCCCGCCCGATGTGTAGAATTCCTGGGGTCCGTCCTCGTCGTCCTCGTCATCTTCGTCGTCCAAGTCGCTGCTACCAAGGGCGTCGTCCATGTCCACGTCCTCACCGCCAGTGCCGCCGCCCGCTGCCGCCTTGGCCGCCGCATTGCGGTCGGCAATTATGCCTGCCAGCAAGTCCCGCAGTCGTGCTTTTCGTTCCTGGTTCGTCTCGCCAAAGTAAATAATGGGCTCGCCGATCTCGATGAGCTTCTCGCGCACTTTTGCGTCCTCCTTTGGAACGGACACCGTTGCCGCTATCTTTTTCCGGGCCAGCTGTGCGAGGAGCTCCGATGCCTTCTCGGCCGGCATGCCCGAGGCCGTCATTGGCATATCGTAGTCATGTTCAAGGGCTATCGGAGACATGTTAGCACACTGAGGATACATGGTCAGACTGGAAACAGGCAGGGGTTACATACGAATGCTCGCCAGGTCAATGCCCCTTGGCCGGCCCTCCTCCTCGGCGTCCTCCACATACGCCATCCGCGACGGATGAATCATCGTGTCTGCTCCGCTCGAGGACAGTCTCCGCAACGTCTATAGTATCGATAAGTTTGTCGTCGAGATCGAGACACGTTGGGCTCAACAGGGCCACATTAATGGCCGCGGGTCGGTCGTAATTTAGTGTACGTGCAGGGGCCGTTATAGCTCCCTCAAGGTCACTTCAGACTGGAATCCTTGCCGTCTTTCGTGGCCTTGGCCGTCGTCAAAGGTATGCTTCGACGCTGGTATGTCGTCTGTCCTGCACGGAAGCTGCAAGGAAGCTGCAAGGAAGCTGCCTGTTTTCTGCGAGCCGCTGTTATCGATAGCGCACTTGTTTGGCCACGGGCCTTTTGCAAAACGCGTTCAGAGATGTCACGTGCATAAAATGTACCTAGCGCCAATGTCGTAGCTTCCCTGTCTGATCAGCACCCAGTGGCGCGCGCCCGAAAGCTGAGAAGCACATGAAAGTCCCAGCAGCAAGGGAGAGCAGCCGCCAATACCAATCAGGCGGCCGCTATGGTCCCATCAGGGAAGGCACCGCCGAACAATCCTCTTGCCATCTCCATGCAAGCCCTCCTGCCCCATCTTCCGGCGTCCCGTAACTGCATCCGCATCCCGCCTTTCTGTGGCATTCTGCAATTCGCAGCCACGTTTTGTGCCTCGTTCCTCAACGAACGCGAACAAACGCAAAGCTACGCCAAGCGCATCGAGCCAAAAACGCTCTCTTCATCCACTGCAACGCATTCGACGCGTCAGCCCGCTCTACTATGATGAAAGGGGCGTCCTCTTGAGAACGCTAGACGTTTCGTGTTCTTCAGCACCGGTAGGCCACGCTATACTTTTCTTCCATCGCCCTGTCCACTGCTCGCTCTTTACGGGGCCTGTGTTCGGTCTTGCGCTGCGCTATCCAGCTCGGATGGATTCAGCAGCGTAGAGAAGGAGCTCGATCTGTCTTCTTCTTCGTTTGCCCCTCATCCACTATCGTTGTGAGCTCCTGCGCGCCATCGACTCCTCGCGTGATTCCAGACCTGACTGTCTGTTACCCGTTCCTCCGTGTACCTCTACCCTGGCCCGGCCCGCTGGCCCAAGATGTCTCTCGACCTGGAAAAGCACCTCGTCTTTGTAAGTCGGCCCTAAACACTCTTTCACGGGTATCTGTAGCTCGGCATTCAACCTCAGAGCTCGACTAATATTATGTTTGCTCGAACAGTATGGCGCCTACCATCACAACAAAATCAATGTCGTCGTCCACATGATCTGTGTGCCATTGATTCTTTTTACTGGCTTCTGGATGGTAAGCACTTTGCCGGCCTGTATTCGCTGGAACACGGATCCTAACCACACACACGCACTCTCTCTCTCTTAGGCCTCCAATTCCCCCACTCTCATTCCCCTACCGTCCTGGCTGACGGTTCCGAACCTGCCCCTCAACCTCGGCACCCTCGCCGCCATCACCTGGGGTGCTCTCTATGTTCTGTTAGAACCCGTCGCCGGCACTGCCCTCGCGCTTCTCTGCCTCGGCGGCGCGGCCGCCGGTAACTACGCCCTCTCCCACTTTGATGCCCACATCATCACGACCTACGCGGCAGCTACACACATCGCCTCATGGATCTTGCAGTTTGTCGGCCACGCGAAGTTTGAGCGCCAGGCGCCCGCGCTGCTGGACAACCTGTTCCAGGCCATCTTTCTAGCGCCGCTGTTTGTGTGGCTGGAGCTGCTGTTTGCCTTTGGCTATCGGCAGGAGCTGCAGGGCCGCGTAGAGCGCGAGGTGCAAAAGGAGATTGCTAAGTTCCAGGCGAGCAAGACTGTGGCCAAAGATCACAAGAACGGCAAGGCCCAGTAACCACCATGGGACAGGCTACGACGACTAGCCCAATACTCACCATTCACAACTTACTTATGCACATATACAGGCGACTAAAACGCCACCACATACGCGAAATAGCAAGGACAGTGTACTGATCATACGACTCTACCTGCGATGTCGACGACGTCGATCTACTACAAGCATACCCTAGACGATGCTATGTTGCGCATACGGCCTCGACGTTGTGCTAGTTTATTGAGACGACCATTTACGGTCTCCACTACATCCAAGCAAGCGTCCAGAATCAGGCGCGCAACACCAGGGAAAGTAATATTTATGACTGGTCCGGCCTTTTCCATTAAGGTAGGCCGTTGGTCTGCCAAAAAAGGCACATAACGTTCTCGCTCCCCATCACCGGGTGATCACGGAATTTAGAGGCTTGAATTTAGTTAATGGACATGTGATTTCATCGTTTTTTATTTTATTTTTTATTTTTTGACCGTTTGGAATCTGGATACGGTGGCTTTCCACACGCCTTTATATAGTTGTGATTGCTACAAATGCAGACCAAGCAGAAAAGACAAAAAGAAAAAGAAGAGAACAGGGGAAATTATAAAAGTACGAAACCTAACAACACGAAGCCAGCGTGTCGAGAGCGGAGACTACGGTGCAGAGGAGCACAAGGCTGAACGCAAATACAGTTCTAAACTATGCACTACGCCGCTTTACAGGACTCACCGTGTAAAACAAGACAGGAGAAACACGACAAGCAACAAGGATGTGACACTAACGTTTGACGGTTACACGGAACTTACACCTCAAACCCAGTCACGCTCGATCCGACGGGAATCCACACAAGCAAACGACTCCGTGCTCTTAGGCGTCCTCAAAGCAGCCGCCATGCGTGTAGCAATGTTCGCTTTATGTTGCTTGCGAGCCAGGGGGGAACTTCTACCAGCGGGCAACGACGACGAAGAAGAGGGAATCGTCTTGTAAGGCCCAGTAGATGTCGGCGGCCGACGAACATGAGGGCGAGTCAAACTGACCGGGCGGGGCGAAGTTAAGGCCGGAGGCTCAAGAAGCGTAGCGGCTTGTTGGTCCAGTCGACGGTGAGACATCTTAGAACGGGAGTTGGGAAAAGGGAGAAGAGCGTCGCCACCGGACTTTCGGCTGCGGCTCGAAGATGAGCTAGGAGAAATCCGCGGCGGGCGGGAAAACGGAGCAGGAGAGGTCATAACCATTCCAGAACGAGCGGCCGCAGGAGAAATGCGCACACGGCCGCTGGCGTTGGTTGGCCGAGAAGTGCGGGGGGGTGATGGCGGCAGCAGAGGCGAAGACCGGGAGATGACAACAGGGGGAGGCAGGGTGGGAGCCCTTGGCTGTTGCCTACGAATAGAAGAAGAAGTGGCAGAAGATGTGTCAGTAGTTGCGGTCTTCGGTTTCTCCATCCGCATCATAGGTTCAGGTTCATATGAACGAGGGGAAAAGTGAGATGGCCTTGGCGGGGCAACAGCTGCCGGCGGGCGCGAGAGGTTTGTGCGGCATGTCCAGCATGGCTCACCGTGATACTGACGCACCGTCTTGGTATTCTCACACTGCCGCTTCGGAACACCGCCGGTGAAAAGGTACACCATGGACGGCCAGCAGCCGGAGTAGTTAGTGGGGTGACGTGCCTTGTGGCAGAGATGAAACTGGCCAACATCCCGGTGCCGGCAAGAGTAAACGTAGACCACGCCTTGACACATGGTTGAGGAACAAGAACAAGGATGAATAAGATCTTACCTTGGATGGTTGTTTGCGGTGGCAGCGTCTTGAGCCCCTCGTCTAGGAATCCGGATGTAACTGTTGGTCCCAAGAAATTGTGAAATCAAAGTTGCTTCACAATTTTCTGGGATAAAGACAAGACGAAAGAAACGCTGTCACTAGAATAGTTCTTGGTTAGTTGTTTGTGTTTGAAGCTCCAAGCCGCGCAAGAGGAAGTGCGCGCTTGGATCTTTATATATATATATTGGCAAGCCAATTTCGAGTGTATTATGTTCACGGCGATAAACATGAACTGGGCTTGTCAATGTGAAATATCTGAACATCTCAGGTGAGATGTTCACAGTGGCCAGCGATTGTGTGCTGTTCGATATTCCATCCAGGTCAACCTCATTGTGGCTGGTTGCTTTTATATTAATATTTTTTTTTAAAAAAAGACCGTTCGATATCATATCTTTCTATTCATTTTTCGAGTTTTTCGTTCCCTTTCGGTGTCCTTTCTCCCATTTCCGCGTGTGGTTTGTTTACCTCAGACGGTGGTTCTTCACGTCTTTGTCTTCTAATACAATGGACCTCAGCCAAAAGGGGCTAGTTTGTCAACAAAGGCACTGTTCCACGGAAACAGAGTCTTTTATCGTCGAAACAATGGCGGCAACACAGTGCATTGTCGTCGTTCACGAAATTTCCTATAAACGTCGCCGTGGTAAACTTGTCATATGTCATTGTCTGGACCATTGTCCACTTTGCTGTGTTCATGAACATTGCCGGTGCGCGATGCATCAGAAGCCGCCTTATAAAGGTGCCGGGCCTGTGCAGCCAGGCAGACCATCCTCTGCTTCTCTTCATCTCCCCAGCGTCTATCCAAGAAGAAATCGACAGCGCAGTGGTCAGTGAATGTTCTGGCTTTTCTCTCGACAGTTTTCATATCGACCGCTAAGCCAGGCACTTGCCTCTGTTTCGTCGACTTTCTTCCGTGGGCTGTATTTTTCTTTCTTTAGTTTTTTATTCTGTCTTTTTTCGGAAACGCGCTTCCCTGGCGGAAGCGCAATTGTCTCGCCTTGTCGACTTTTGTGTTGTTGAAGTAAGAAGATTGTCGAGAGATCCATCACTGGAAAAAAGAAGGTTACAGTTCAGGTAAGTATATACAATCGCTCCTTCCTTGTTCGCCATGTCGCTTCAGGAGGTCCCGAACTGCCTTCCTTGGGAGCAGGCCGGCTCTTCTCCTTCCTCATCTTCCCACTCTACAGCCTCTTCCGTCACCTCTTCTGTCACCTCTCCTGCCCCTTCCTCTTCTTCCTCGTCTTCATCTGCACCTGATTCTTCATTCACTCCCAGCGCCACGTCCGGCGACGTCCTCAACGTTGCCGACGCTCTCATCCGTTCCGTCCAATCACGCCACAGCACCCACCTATTTCCTCTTCGCTGCGAGAAGGACCCCATATCCTATAGGAGGAAGATCATCGCCTTCACAACGATGTGCTGCCTTGAGGGTACGTTTCCGGCACCATCAGCATCGCTGCAATATCCCACCTTTTCTCTGAATTCCATGCCTGACTTCAATCTCGGGAGCTGGGAGCCGCATAAAAACCCTCTCGATTGCGCGAGAATGACCCTTTCCGAGTTTAAAGATCAGATGTTGTCACCAGAGGAGCGGCGCGTGGCGAAGCCGGCTGAGATCCGCAAGGCAATGCAAGGCGAACTTCCGGACATGCGCGGCATCTGGACCGATGTGATTCTTAACAACTTTGAGCGAGAGATTGTGGAGCGCCCTGACGACTTTGAAGAGGAAATCGACGAGGAAGTAGTCAAAGAGGAAGAAACTACCAAAGAGAAGGAGCTTTATTCCAACATGTCTGTCTTTGAGGAGAGTGACGACGAAGAGGACTATGACGAAGACGACGAGGTAGGTGGCGAGAAAGTTGGAGAGGTTACCAATGCGGTAGAGAATTTCGTCAAGGAAATCGTCAAGCTCGGAGAGACTATCGAGGTCGAGATGGTCGAGATCAAACGGGTCACCCAAATGGAGATTGTCGAGGTCAAGAAGGGTCGTGTTAAGACTATTAACATGAACAAGGCCGGGGCTGCCATCGATAATCGTATCGTCAAGAAGGCGCCCACTCTGCCGAGGCAAAATTCCCAGTGGAACTCTATCCAAGCGCGTCTCGAGCAAGCCACGGATAAGATGCGGCGCTTGGCGAGCGCAAAGGATGACTCCGTTCCAAACAACGAACTCTCATCCCGGCCGGTGGTGCTTAAGGTCATCGGCAGCAGGCCACCACCTCGGCCTCATTGGGTTCATGCGAGTGTGCTTGCTGGAGTCGGTTTGGAACAGTACCAGAACTGCAACTGCGGCTCATCACTGGAGCAGGGTGCCGGTTGTCAACCAGACGAGGTGCAGGTGCCAGTGAAGGAAGTCCTTATCTAGGCGACACGGTAAGTCGGAAGTGTTCTACAAAATAGCGTCGAAACGAAAATCACAGACAAATAATCAGCTGTGCCTGCATCATACAGACTGAAACAGTCAGCAAACCTTTGCCTCTTATTCTATTTTCTTTCTCCAGATGTCCTTGCATACATACGATTTAACAACGCAACCAACTTCAAATATACATACAAACAATCCTACTAGCAAGTAAACTGCGAACAACAATGCAATCAACGGTCATGAAATAGCAAGACAAGGTAATTCATTGAAAAGGCTGCTAAAGAAAGAAGAAAAAAAAGTATAAGTTGCTAGGGCATAAACTGACGTAAATGCTGCAAATATTAAAGAAATAATGGAAAAGTTCCAAAATTAGTCCCCCTCCCAATTCTGCGCGGAACTCCATGGTATAACCCAATAAGCAGCCGCCCACCATCACCCATATCTTCCGTCACCAATAAATCCGCATCACGTCGCGGCGATTGTATGTCGTCCTTCGTAATTGAGTATGACTAGCGGAAGAAGTAGCCATTTACAGGCCACCGAGGATGTTGCCGAGAATGCTGACCGCGGCAACGACAAGGCCCTCAAGAGTGTTGGACAGTTCACTGACAGGGTCAAGACCACCCGTCGCACCACCGGCCACACCGCCGGCAGCAGCAGCCAGACCGCCAGCGGCACCAGTCAGGTTGTCAAGCTGGGACAGGTCACCCAGGGTGCCCGTGGAGATGGTGATGGTCAGGTTGCTAAGCAGGTTACCGACAGCGAGGAGCAAGCCACCGAGCAGACCGGTCAGGGCGCTGGCGTTGGTCAGGCCACCCAGAGCAGAGGTAACCGCAGTCGTGCCAGAGCCGCCAGCGTTGGCGGGGACAACACCGCCAGCGCCGCCGGTCACACCACCAACGGCGCCGGTGACACCACCAACGGCACCAGTCACAGCGCCAGCAGCACCGGTCAGACCGCCCAGCAGACCACCAGCGGTGTTCAGGACAGTGCTGACGGCACCAAGAACGACGCCCAAGATACCACCGGCAACGACCTCAGCCGAGGCGACGGTGGACTCGGCCGACGCGGCCGCAGCACCAAGGCCAAGCTCATTGAGCAGACTGACGATGCCCGAGAGGGAGCTGTTGAGGTTGACCAGGCCGCCGGTCAGGTCACCAACCAGGTTAGCGTCACCCGCCTTGGCGGTCTTGACCTTGCCGGTCAGGGTCTCAGCCTCGCTAATAACGTCGCCAATCTGGCTCGTCAACTGACCGACGACGCCAGACACGTCAACGCGCTTGGTGACGGGTGCAACAGCGACCGCGCGGGCGTTCATCTGGGGAGCAGCGCAGACGCCAGAGGCGAAAGCGGCAATGCCAGCAATGGTAGAGAACTTCATTGTGAATAGGTGGTACTTTGAAGAAGTAGAATAAAAGAAGTGTAGAGAAAGGAAGTGAAGCGAGTGTGGTAGTTCTGTGAAGAAGCTGTTTGAACGAGTGAATGTTTGATGAGGATGAGAGAAAAAGAAAAATGAGTCTGGATTAACCAGTCGAGGGAGTCATTGTTATATACTCGGGAGACAGGACTGGATCAGAGCCAGGCGTGCTGCGGGAAACGATCCATGAGCAACAATCATCAAACAGACCGACAATCCAATATCCCACAAGATCCCGCAAATCCCATCCGGCGTAGCAACCAGGTGTGCAAAGAATGAGAACCATCACTCCCCCCCTTTCTTAGACAGAACCAACTCCGGCGAGTGGGAACATGGGTCGGCGTGCTCTGTCAGGTTCAAAGAGTCAGTCAGGGTCAAGGAGCCTGAATTTCTGGTCTCCATGGAGAGAGAAACTCATTCCCTCGTTCAGGCAAACGGTGCCTTGTTTCGATTTTCCGGGCATGCAGGTAATTTCAGCTCAGCATAGAGCGGCAGCTCTACAGGTTCTCGAAGTGGACTCAAGTTGACGGAACTGCACAGCCCTTCATGCCAGGCGGCACTTATGCATAGGATGTGGAAAATGGTGTGATGTATTAGGGTAAACCTTGGGAGTTCTGACAAGCCCCCCTTCCCCCCTCCCCCCCCCCTTTGCAAGGTACAAGGATGGATATTGCACTTGAGCTGGGAGAAGTCGTACTGGAGGGAGACCAAAAAACGTGCTTGATATCCAGATTTACACCATGCACCCCATGGACCACAGCTCTTATTCGGAATGCATAACTGTTTTGTTGTGACCGCCTCTCTCCAGCTGAATATCTGAGAAAGCGTATAAACATCTCACAGCACTAACAATGAGAGACAAAGAAGAGATTTGCATCGGACGACGAACGTGCGAGCAAAACAATCCTAGAGTCAGAGTGGACATGAGTGATGTATTCTGATAGACGGGGGCAACCATCCGTTCATACCATGCCGGTAGTTGCTGTCACTTTCGTTACCTCCGTGATGTTTTTCTTCTGCAGTGGAGCGGCGATGTAAAAAAAACGGATCGGCGGTTGATGGTGGAATGGACCAAGTTCAGACAAAGAATGCCACGAAACGGACGAGGGGCATTGAACTGGACGGCCTTGATGACCAATGAT